CTTCATGGCTTTATTTTGGTGATTTCGAAAAGTGTATTGGTTTAGCCATGTTTGTGTGTTGTAGTACAGAGTTAGACTGATGGCCTTAATCTAAGTTGTCTTGTGTTGTTGTTGTTTGACTTGCATCCCACTGGGATTTTTGCACACAGCGTTGGTGTACGGTGTTTTTCTGCAATATTTTTGCTGTCTTTTCTTGGATTTTCTGTTTGCACTTAGTCACATATTCACTTTAAGATGTTTTTTTGTTCATGTTTTTGTTTTTTGTTTGTTGCGGTTGCACCCGATTCAAGAGCTGAATGGCTCACAGGGCTATACCTAATAAATGAACTTGAACTTGAAGAACCTTGACAACAACAACAAACGACAATATGGGGACCTCATTTGCCAGTAAAATATGGTAATTGGTTCTTTACCCTTCTATCTGGCAACAAAACTGACACCTTTTTGCAAACATGACTCCTTGCAAAAAGGTGTCAGTTTTGTTGCCAGATAGAAGGGTAAAAAACCAATTATAACAAACGACAACACAACACAAACAGATGACGTCACCGCAAACCATCGACAGCCATGACATCACATCACCGCGACCGACTACGCCTTTCTGACGTCACCGCGACAACAACAACAAAACCCTCACCGACAAATCCAACGGTGACGACACCGCCGTTCCATCGACTCCAACGATGACATCACGCGCACGCCACCGCCCGATCTCGTTAAACAAAAGGTGACATGACGTCACCGCAACGCATTACACCCCCCCCCCCCCCAGTCGCGCGCGGTGCAGTTTGGGACCCCCTCCCGCATGCGCATAAAACAACTCCATATTCTGGCAACAGCAGCAGGAGGCAGCAGCAGGAGACGAGGTGGAAGCAGGAGAAGCAGGAGAAGCAGCAGCAGCAGGTGAGGAGATGCGCTTGTGGGGGATGTTGACGTTGACCGACTGACCGCCCTCCCCCCCCACTCGTTGTTGTTGTTGTTGTTGTGTAAAAGCCATCGAGGGTGAGATGATGATGATGATGAGGGTGGCAGCGGCGGTGGCGCTTGCCGCGTCTTTGGGCCCAGGGACTGTGCCGTGTTGTTGCTGTCGGAGTAGTGGTGGTGGTGGTGGACGAGGTGGACGAGGTGGATGAGGTGGACTAGGCATGGCGGGGTAAGGAGGAGGAGGAGGAGAGGGGGAGACATCTTCCGATCGGCTGAACCTTTTTGTTGACCCCCAAGGATTTTAGGAGTTTTTTTTTTCTTATTGGAAGGGTTCGGGCCCGCGGGGAGTGTTTCTGGACGAGTGGTGGAGGAGAGAAGGAGGAGCGTTGATGAGGGAGGTGGACGAGGTGGACGAGGCCTGGAGCCGTGCTCCGTGCTCTAGGCCCAGGGGTGGCAGCAGCAGGAGGAGGAGGCGGAGGGGGTCTCGGGTCGCAATGATTGGGGCCTCGAGTCGGGGTCGACGACGACGATGAGGAGGAGGTTTTAATTTGGTCTCTCGCCGCCCTTTGTGTTGTTGTTGTGGTATCGGTTGTTGTGGTATCGGTTGTTGTGGTGGTTGTGGTGGTGGTTGTTGTGGTATCGGTTGTGGTGGTGGTTGTGGTGGTGGTGTTGGTTGCAGCTGTGGTGGTTATTGTGGTGGTTGCAGCTGCTTTGGCGGTAGTGGTTATTGTGGTGGTGGTTGGGTTGAAGCTCTGGTGGTGGTGGTGGTTATTGTGGTGGTGGTTGTTAATGGTGGTGGTGGTTACTGTGGTGGTGGTTGCAGCTACTGTAGTGGTTATTGTGGTGGTGGTTATTGTGGTGGTGGTTACTGTGGTGGTTGCAGCTACTGTAGTGCTTATTGTGGTGGTGGTTGCTGTGGTGGTTGCTGCTACTGTAGTGATTATTGTGGTGGTAGTTGCTGCTGTAGTGCTTATTGTGGTGGTGGTTGCTGCTGTGGTAGTGGTTATTGTGGTGGTGGTTGCAGCTACTGTAGTGATTATTGTGGTGGTGGCTGCTGTGGTAGTGGTTATTGTGGTGGTGGTGGTGGTGGTTGCTGTTGAGGCGAGGACTGCACGATAAATAACAAGGCCCCAAATTTGAGGCTCTTCATCTTTTCCCTGTGACCTCTTCCCCCCCCTCACCGCCCACCCTCCCCTGATGGCACTCGCGAAACCCGGGGACCCCCATGGCCTCGAGTCGTCGTCAACCCAACCTCAACCCACAGCACCTGTCCAGCTAAAGTCTGGCTCCAGCCTCGTTTCACTGAGTCTCGTGCTGTCATCTGGCACCAGCTGTTGGTCTTGGGCTCTGGTCTTGGGCTCTACCGAAAGAACCAAAGAGTAATTCCTGCAGTCACGAAAGTTACAAATTAAGATTGGGCTCTGGTCTTTGGCTCTAATTTCACAGTCCCCTGGACCTGTGGAACTTGAGTCCTTGCTTGTAACCAGGTTCCTCGTCGCGTGTACGGTGACACGGTCTGGTGTTCAGCTCTCACTACTCTCGTCTTGTTAGTGGTGTTGTTGATCCCTTTTTCCGGTTGCCACGGTCTGAGTTGCAGCCGCCAGTTTCCCTTGTCACCTGGGCTTGGGTTGGTTCCGCAGTTGAGACCCGAGACTGGGGTTTGGATCTGTGGCATCTCCGATGAGCGCGGTTGGCTACGTGACGGTGTGGAAGAAGTTCAGTGTACGTACGTCCTCTGATCTTGGTACGGAGTAGCTGGCCTTTTCAAGTCTGTGGTCACGACTACAACTGGTACAACATTGATAATTGGTTTTTTACCCTTCTATCTGGCAACAAAACTGACAGATGGCGCCTTTTGGCGTCATCTGGTCCAACCCATGTGAGACTAGGCTCTAAGGAAAGCTGTCTCGGGTGTGGACCAATCAACTTCAAGGACAGTGCACATTATCAGAGTTATGTCTTTTGTTTGTATTATGACTGCAGGTATTGCGGTCTATGCAAACATGACTCCTTGTAAAAAGGTGTCGGTTTTGTTGCCAGATAGAAGGGTAAAAAAACAATTCTATTTTTACTGGCAAAATGAGATTCCCATAGTGGTGCAACATTCTGACGCAAGGTATCGTGGTCCCTAGTTCCTGGCACTGGTTCCCTTGGACATTTGGCTGTCCATTCTCTTTGGTTCTTTCGGTAAAGTCACGTAGGTAGAAAATAAATTAAATTAAATCGCGACGTTTCGGGCGCAACACAAGCGTCCGTCATCAGGTGGGACAACCACAGCGAGAAACAATTGCTGACGTGGGACGCTTGTGTTGCGCCCGAAACGTCGGGATTTAATTTAATTTATTTTCTACCCACGTGACTTTACCGAAAGAACCAAAGAGTATGGATCCCTGCAGTCACAAAAACTTCAAATCTAGATTGGTTGTCGTTATACTTTGTCATACCTGGCCCTGCATCGTTAAGTCCATGTTCTTGGGTCTGTTTCCATGGTCTCCAATTTTCCATTTCCCTCTTTAGTAGACCTCTGATTTAGCACGGTTGGCTATGTACGGTGTGAAAGAAGTTGAACATACAGACAGTTTAACACGTAGTAGTAGGGCTTTGCGACCAATGTCCATAATCAAGCTTTTTTGGGTGAAATGCCATGAATATAAATGTGTCGTTAAACCCGACACCACCTGACACAGCCAACTAGTAAGGTTTGTCACGTAAATACAACATGCCAATTTGTTACTAGTTCAGCACACCGGTGTGTTGGAGAGCAAACCCATAACATTTACAATTCGAGTACTTACAGACCTGGGCCTTATTGTGACCTAAACTATTTAGTATTTTACCAAGTAAGGCCCACTGAGCTATGCATGCTCTTTCAGAAGCGACCTGGATAACGCAAATGATACCTCAACAAAGTGGCTCATCATCGTGTGGTCCACACCTGATCCAGACCAAGTCTGGACCAGGTCTGGATTGTAGGTCGCACCCAGGAGAGAGTGACGTCGTGGAGGAGACTGTTTGATGCGCGTAAACCTGGCAGTGCAGTTTTGGGCCTGGTCTTAGAGACCTTGGGGGAAGTCGAGAGAGTTGCGTGTGTGGCGCCATGGTGGCCCCGAGATGTTAACTTCCTCGCCTGGTACACGGGCGGTCGTGGGTTTCATCTCGACCCTGATGCCTGCTGTGTATTTGGAGTTTGCGTGTTGTGTCTCTCCTCGTGGTCGCGTGGATTTTTCTCCGGGTCATTCGCTTTTTTCCTTCCACATTTTAGAAACGTGCATTTAGAGTATTTGGCTGCTATAAAGTAAAATTTTATATGTCAATGCATTGAGCTGTCATTTTATAATGGGCAGGTCCCTTCTGATGGAGCGGTACAGCTCTGTAGTTTTTAGTTTATCTTCTCTGCGACACGCAAGGACAATTTGGTCCATTGTGCCAATGATACAGGAAAGCTTCTTTACAGGAGAACTGCTCTGTGTGTTTAGTTTGTTGACCCCCCCCCCCCGCACCTCCGACCTGCATGGTTGACTACGTGCGGTGCGAAAAGAAGTACCAGCGCACAGGAGGTTCCCTTGCCCCATTGGGATGTTTGGCAATTCCATGAATAAGTGGGTTGGCTTCGTGTGGGAGATAACCCAGCATGTGTCAGAGGTGTGGGGACTGACTCTGAAAACGACCGTCTGGACGCACCATTGGGGATCGCCCATCCAACTACAACCACTAAGGTAAAAAATAAAATAAAAATTAATAAAAGTAATAATAAAAATAAAAAATATTTGTTTTTAATTTTATTTCTATTATTACTCTTATTAATTTTATTTTTTACCTACGTGACTTTACCGAAAAAAAAAACCTCAGTTTGAATCCTTGCAGTCACGAAAGCTTCAAATCTAGAATTACAACCTCTAAGCTGGCTCAACTTGACTGCCACACACTCCAAACCCACAGTTCTCAGTCCCTGCGCCTCTGACCGCTGGCTCTAAGGCGCGGGGGGGGGGGTGTCACTCACGTTCACCAGGCACGCAGGTGATTTACCCTCGCGATCCCCCCCCCCCCCCAAGCCGTTGCATCGCTCGCGGGCGTTGCGATGGCAACACTCCAGCTGGCTCCAGTCCACGAGCTTATTTCGTAGCTCCATCTCCGCGTTGAACGGTGCCTTGGTCGCGTTTCCCTCCTCTTGGCTCGGCCATCGTCGAAGCGAACTCTCCTGCCCATATCCCACTTCTTCTTGGTTCTTTCAGGAAAGTGACGTAGAAGGGAAATAATAAAATAATAAAAATATAACATAACAAAATAATTCTCACGACGTTTCGGCCACAACGCAAGCAGCCGTCCTCAGGTGAAGACCAGGTCTGTCGGGGAGACGGCGTCATTCACCTACCTTTTTAAGCCCCTGTCGTTTCTTCTGCGGCAATTTCCCACGTTCAGCGCTGTCGCGGGTAGTGGGATGCGTTCCTGAAAAGGGCCTCGTTAAGCGGAAACAATTTGCCCGTAAATAATGTAGTGAAGGTAAAGTGTGGCGAGGCGCGATGTACCACTGCTACGCACCGCGAGATGGCGGGACGAGTGACTTTGATGAGTAACCGTTTGTCACTCATTTCCCAACGTCTTGTCTCTTCTCACAATTCAAGTTCCTAGAATCAACCCACCCGTGCCTGCAACATGGCTGCATCCCAGAGGTCGCAATCGGGTACCCGATACCCGTACCCGGCTGGGTACGGGTACGGCCGGGTAAGGGTACCCGTTTGCGACCCTGGTGCGGCCGGGTACGGGTAAGGAATCAAAACCCGTTTGCGACCTCTGGCATGGTGTCGTAGACTCTGGCCAGAAAGGTTGTGTGTGTGTGTACGTAGAACTTCATTCGCACCGTACGTAGCCATACCGCGCTAATCGGAGGTACGGGAAGAAGGACATAACAAACTAATACACAAAGCACTTTGAAAGAAATGAGTTTTCAATCTCGGAGTACGGCAGTGAATGTATTGCTCAACATTCCAAGTGACTGTGCCTCTTTCAATTGAATCCATCTGTGTGGAGGTGTTGGCTCCCTTCTGCACCCCACCGTGTATCGTGGTTTTTTTATCTCCAGGTTTCTCCGCTTGACTCTCAAATGGAGTCAAACTTTTTTATCGCGTTCCCTGCTGTAGCAGGACCCTCCTCCGGGAAGGCCTTGAGACTCCCTTTTCGCTCGTGGCTTTTCTGAGTAAGCGAGTCGGTGAAGTCATTGT